AAAAAAAAAAAAAAATCATGCAGATTTGTGGCCAGCTCAGAGAACTTTGGTACAACAGAGTAGCCTCACTATGTGTGTTATTTTCTTAAAATCAAATTTACATGTGAAGAAAGCACACATTGTAAGTTCAACATCATTGTGAGCTTTTAATGTAGGCTGCAAAATTATAATCTGTACTCACCATCCTGGAAATGAGAGCCAACTGTGTGCATAAATGTTATAGAGGCTTGGTATTAAGCCAGGATGGGATGAAACGCTCTAGAATTCTCCAAATGTCCCCACTCACAGCCAGAGATTGGAGCATACAGGGCACAATGAGAGGAATGTTCAGGCAGCTGTCTATGAACTGATTTTCTTTCTCAACAGTTCCAGTTCTTAAGTTTTCATGTGTAAATGAACCAATCTTTGGGATACAGATAAACCATTATAGTGAACTTTGTAGGCAAATGAAAGTATTTTTAAGAATGTCTTTATGCACCCCTTAGCCTATAAAATGTAACTATTACCTGTCTAGGAGTTGTGGTGGTGCAGTGATTAAAGCATTCAACTGCTAACCGGAAGGTTGGCAGTTCAAACCCACTAGCTACTCCATGGGAGAAAGAAGAAGCAGTTTGCTTCTATAAAGATTTACAGCCTTGAAAACCCTGTTGGGGCAGCTCTACTCTGTCCCATATGGTCACTATGAGTCAGAATTGACCCAATGGCAGTGGGTTTGTTTTTTGATTTAAAATCCCACAGCGAGTCCCAGAGAACTGTGTCTGTAAGTAGATAGGGAGAACTGTGAGACCTGGGCTGTGCCCTGCTGGAGCCTGCAGCCCATGGAAACTATAATAGACAGGAAGGATGTATAATACTGGCAACTACTTACTGAGCACTTGGTACAAGCCAAGTGCTTATTAAGCACTTAGTACATGCCAAGTGCTTAGTGAGCACTTAGTACATATTGAGCACTTACTGAGCATTTAGTAAATGCCAGGCACTTACTGAGCACTTAGTACATGCCAAGTGCTTACTGAGCACTTAGTACATGCCAGGGATGTTTCCAGGAGTTGGAGAAACAGAGAACAAAGCTGACACACACACACACCTGCTCTCTCAGGATTCTTTGTCTTTGAAATCTATGAGGGAGGGACTATCACTCTGCATTTTACAGATGAGGGAACTAAGGCACAGAGAAAGTAACTTGCCTGTGCTCCCATAGCTAATACAAATTAGAGCCAGGAACCCAATATCCCCAGGTCTGAGCTCTTACCCACTCTGTGTTCCAATCTTCTTATGAATGAGGCAGCCTGCTGTGGTCAGCACTGGCAGAGACACAGCAAGGCTGGCTGAGTGCTGGGAAACCAAAACGGCTTCTCAGGAGGAGTTTCATCCTCACTGAGAGGACTCCCTAAGCAAGGACAGGAGGCTATGTGGTGGAAATGTAGGCTGGAGACGCCAGTAAGGCTCCAATCCAGGAGGGGGTAGGCAAGGCCTAGGGCACCTTCTTCAGCTCTCATCACAAGAACAAATCCTGCTCATTTGGCATCATGCAGCTAAAGGGCAACAGAGTGAAGGTGAAAAGGAAGGAAGCCAGGGGGCCAGGCAGCCCAGCCCAAAGCCCTAGGGCCACATGGGCCCTGTCAGAAGCAAGAGTGAGCAGCACTTTCTGGTTAGTGAGTCTCCATGGTCATACTGAGTTGCCCCTGGGAACAGCTAGCTGGGCCATTAGGGCTGGCTCCTCACCTCCAGGGCCCTATCTACCCAGGCCTGGGAGGAAAGGAGCACAAGGTAGCAAGGGGGAACAGAAATGCTGACCACTTCCCAGGTGATGGGCAGCACAGAATCAAAAAGAGAAGCAGGGTCTGTTCCAAGTAAGTCCCTGAGCATGTGACGAAGGTGGGCCTGGGCCAGTCCCATAAGGATCCTTGATCCTATAATCTCAGACCCCAGGGAAATCACTCTGGCAGACCTCTGGACATCTCTGTCTTCTCCTCCACAGATTCCGCTCAGGATCCTTTGTCCAGGTGCTAAACTGGAAACATCCACTGGAAGAGGAAGGGGCAACAGCGTTGGGGAGCTGATTGCACACAGAAACCATTCTAGGTGTTCTCCTATGATCAGCTGATTAGGCCAATACAATAGCCCCATGAGATAAACACAGATATTATTTACCAGTTGCCACAGAACTGATTTGGACTTATGGCAAATCCATGCGTCTCAGAGTATAACTGTGCTCCATAGGATTTTCAAGGTT